CCCCCCCCCCCCCCCCCCCCCCCCCCTCCCCCTCCCTTCCCGGTCGCTGCCCCCAGTTTATGGCTCTCATGCTGTACGCTGTAAAGGACCTTATCGTGGTATAGAAATAATTGTGTCCGGAATTAGATCAAGCTATGCAACACACAACATGGACATATTGAAACAACTAAAGCCTAGTAAAGATACCTTCGCTGGGAGAATCACTAAGCCGGTAATCTCTTCAAAAGATGAAATTGATCTCAGCGTTGTACGCAGATTGACCAACAACCGGTGAATAAAATAATTTGAATGAAAATTAGAACTTAGGCTGTTTTAATGCCTCATCATGCAGTATTTTACCAGCTAGCAGTTTTAGAAGAAACTCACCGATGGTGCAGGGCTACGACTGGAAGATGTGGATGAGCTTGTTGATGGCGATCGTTTGCGCAGTGGCTTTTTCTTTGAGCTTACGCTGTGCCTGCTGTGTCGTTTCTCCTTTCTTCTTTTGGTACCTCGATCGATTCGTTTATCGTGATGCCTGGTCATAATTTCACCGAGAAGAGATGACTTCATACGCATTCTAAAATAACATATCAATTTAATGTCCCAGTAGAAAGAAGTTCGGCAAACATTCACTTGAGCACGCAAAAAAAAGACGAAGCGTCAGCTCCCAGTTAAAACAGAAAAAAATCAATTAAAAGGGCGCAAAATCATGGGTGAAGATTGAAAACGAATCAAAGAATGAAGAAATTTTTTGAAAAGATGCAAAATTTACCGGAACGCGCAATTTAAAGAAAGTATTAAAAAGAGTTAAAAAAGAGCAAAAAAGACGGATTAAACTTCGAAGACGACAAAAGTGTTAAAACTTAGAAAAACTTTTCTAAAAATTGTTAAACTTTTCTAAAAAAAACGCTAAAATTCAAATAAATGTGATGTGGCTTGCATGTTTCCCTAGCAGCTCCCTTTAAAATTTTTTATTTAAATTTCAACTAAAGCAGAGAATCTTAGGCTCTATTCACTGTAAATGCAGTGCAGTTCCTAGCAGAAGGAATAAATTTTCTGGTGCACAGGCTGAATTTTATTTCCCAGAATGGCTGGAACGATTTCATAC